TAATACGTTTCTGCCCTTCATTAAATGACATATTAAGACCTACAAGTGAATCCAACAAATGGCCATACAGTTTCATATAGAGTGCATCACTGACAACACTGAGGTCATGTATCTATGCCTATTTCTTGGAACAATAAAGGAAATAAATACAGAAAAAGCATTCCTTTAGATGCAATGATTGATATACTATCTGTGGATGGTGTGTTAAGTGACTCCAGATCATGAAATGCAATTTAGCTGCCTTCCTCACTTTTCATTGCTCTGTTGGGTTTTAACATACCATCTTCAGGCTTTTCAAGCCCCTAAAGAGATCAGCTTTAAATCACATTAAAAAGGAATGGATTTAAATGATACCAATTGAAAAAAAAAGTTAACATCCATTGTCAATTAATGTTTTTTTAATACAAACTCACTAGAGCAAATGACCTCTGGTGGGTTTTTTTGCTTCCAAGTTTCTTAAAACCCAAGGCACATTACTACATATAATGTGAGGTGCATCTTGCCGCCAAGAAAGATGAGGCAGTGTTGAACAAAAAGGATCATTTTTATCTTCATGAAATATCTACAAACCCATGACTGTAATAATGTGCATTTTTTATAGATTTACACACCATGTAGCTTTTAATCAAGACTGGCACGAGCAAGACGCAGATAGCCTAAACAAACGGGCGATCTCAGAGTCATTTATCCCCTGCTCTGGCATCTTCTTTCTGTGACAGCTGAAGTGAATGCAGGGAGGGGGGCGGCGGCACAGCAGCCGCGGACGTGGGATGAAACAAAAGCATGTGTCACAGTCTCCGCAGCCTGGTGAGCGAGATAAGGATGGATTTTGCTGGAGGAGGCGTTTTTTTGGGAAAAAAACACCAGATGACGACTCAATTTTAAAAAAATAAAGCTATCGGCAACACTAAAACCATTTTTTGTTCTGCAGCTGCTCGTAAGACAGTCTGAATTAAGAGGCATATATAGTTTAGCGTTTTAAAGAAAAATGGAAATTTCCTCAGAAATATTCTTTGACCGTTAAAGGAAAATAAACTTTTTGCCACAATACAAGGAAGAATCCGTGAACGTTTAATTGCAATATTTGACTGAATTTCACAATGTTCAGCCGAGCCTGCAGAAGTGACCTTTTGAGAATTGCCACAGTGACATTCATTACATTCTGTGGCGCATTAGAGACCGCAGGCCCTGCTGTTTACAGGCCTCTCCGAATCCACTCTTGGAAGAAAAACACTCCTTTCTCAAATATATTGCTGAAGTTAACAGCATTCTTATGTGTTACTGGGTCTGGCATTATTTAGGCATGAAGTTGTACCACCTCTGAATTCTGAAATCTGAGGTAACAGAAGAAACTTAGAATATAATTAAACTTAATTTATGACCACAGGATTTAATGTTATGGCAGGTAACTGACAGTAGATCCAGTGCCCATTATTAAAAGTAAAAAAATACAGTATCTCACTAGACAGTTGTTAAGAAAAGCTGTTTTAATGTAATTACACTTCAAATATTGAATTGTAGCCTATTCTGCTTTAGTGCAAACTGCCCCGTTATCTGATAGCTTGGAATCTTTAGAGAAACAGCTGGTTGAGATCCTCAGATCAATCAACTCCTAGCAACCAAATAAATCAGCTTAATGTGTCAATTGGCCTTGTCTCATTTGTAACATTTTATGATGTTCAGACATTCGGCCTGAAGATACTGTAAACACATGTAATTCCTAAGCACACAAAGCCCCATCAGAACATGAAAAGAATCAGGCTTTGATTTAGTAATCAATAAAGGGAACTTTCAGTCTGAAGCATATCTTTATGTCCATCTTTAAGCAAACTATACATGAGATGATGACAATCAATGACTTAAAATAATCTTATGAAAGGCATAATTCGTAAGATTGAGAAGTCTTTTCAATCATTCCTACACAAAGCACCGATGCATTTATTTAAACCTAGTTTTAATATTATTTTATTTCATTACTTAAAACAGTGTGAATGACAGTACATATGTGTATTGGATTGCTTTATACTGAATTAAATTATTGTCTGTAGCCAGTTAATCTTTAGTCTGTAATACTTCTTCTATAATAAGACGTGAATAGCAAAGTCAATTTTGTTATTTTGGTTAACACTACATAAGTTTCCTTCGCCTTATAAGCAGTTTTGGTTCATTATTTTATTATAACACTGGTTCATACTTTAACTGTTTGCTAATCAGTCTATTAAAACAGGCCATTTGCTGCATCTATGACTGATTCCATGATTTGGTTATCATGTGAATGTGATACAAATCACAAAAGAGCTGTTCACCAAGTTCTGCTGTGATCTGTAAAATATAAACTAGGTGAGACGTATTAAAAAAATCAAATTTAAACTTGTAATTAATGTTACCACAAAATAAAATTAACCATAACTCCCCAAAACAAAAAAACACCAAAAGCTTATTAGTAGTTTTTTTAATGGTATTTACACAGATGTCTTAAAATCTGTTCAATCTCACCTTCAGTATGGTCTATAAAGATGTCATTCAAGATGGAAAAACCTCAAAGAGCCATCTGAAGTTTTTGCTAAAGATTATCATATGTATAGCAACCATCTCATATTCACTAGGACCAAGGCTATGTGAAAATTCCTTCATGACCTATCCATGACTTCATGCAACTTTTAAAGTCAGAAGAAATAAGCTTAACAACAATTGCGGTAGCATTTTCAAAAACTGTTAAAACACAAAAATATTACAGAACAATGCCCACAAAAGGTAAAACAAACCATCTTCTGTATATACTAAGAAAATTATCAGAATTATCACTAAATGATCAATATGCCACGAGGAGCCCCACAAAAAATAATCTATGTGATACAAATGTCCTAACGTCTTAAGAAGTATTCTTAGGCAGTAAATGTGTCCAAATAACTTTTCCTATGAGGTGATGTAGTGCTTATGCAACAAAATCACTTGAGTATATCATAGCCATTAATGATCAATTTATCAAAATGAAACCAAATCATTTTTGCATAATCATACTGTTGAAGCAGAAATAGGTTACTATTTTTATTTTCGCTCGATGTATTATTACTGTAATATGGGGTGGAGGGAATAAGTGTGAATAAACTGATAAAAAAGAAATATCACTCAAAACAGTATCAAACCAGGTCCTGGCACAAAACAGTAGGTTCCAGTACCCTGCCTACAGACATGGAAAAAAAACTCCTGTATTCTGTAAGTGAGGCACACATACTGTAAAGGAAAAAGAGGAATCACATAGAAGATCTTATTCAAAACTCACTACAGAAAACAGGTGCCAAGTGAATGTCAGCCTTTTCCCCTGTTCTAAATAATGCAATGGTAAACAAGTGAGAGATGTAGGACAGAACACACAGATTTTCTTCATTGCTTTTCCAGCAGAGTTACAGATAAAAATTAGTCAATACATGTAGGAACTAAAGAGTGGTTTCACTCTAACGGAATTTCATCAGTGCAATGTAGCCGTGTCTTGACTATATTCTTGGGGCTGTTTTCTCCAATCTTTTCAATTCAGTTATTTTTATTGTATCCAAAAGGTGCCCTGCTACAATACATTTCAAAGAAATGTTTTCTCCGTCTATGTACCTCATTTTTATCAGTGAAATATTTTTCCCTAGTACATGCTTTCCTGTTACTTGCTACTTTTGACCATTGCGCTCCCAGAAATACTCATTTATACATCCTCCCAAGATCACCTTCTGTATAGTCTTTTTCCACTCAAACATTTATATATATGTGAACTTACAGAAAATAACATTTCATCTACAAGTGTTGTGCATTAATTAAACAATGACCCAGTTCTGGATTGACCTGTATAGCACTGTGCCATTTTCTTTTTATCTTTGATGGCGTTTCATTAAAGACAGCAAATGTGATTTTCTAGATACTCCTGTATAATACAAAAGCTTTGCTTAATGTTATGTACATTTCTTAGCTGGATTACGATGATAAAAATGCATACCAATTTAAATTGTTTTTGTTCATTCGAATCAAGTTAATCTTTTTGAAATTGATGTTGAGTCACACACAGTTGTGGAACACTCAACAATCACTTTTTTATCATTTATATACATGTTCAGCAGCAGTCATATCTGACTATGAAAACAAACCACTCTGTTTTCCGATTTTAATGGATACAGTGCAACAACAACCTCTAACAATTATCTTAATATTCCCTAAATTACAGCATTAATCATTCTGGACAACTTTCTGTGGTTGATACCTCATTTTAATTCCCATGAAAACATACCTAAGTCTACAATACTGAACAGACTTTGGCCATATTTTAGAAGTGATGTTCTGAAGTCTTAACCCCCTACAAAAAGAGGGTTAAGACAGGGAATTACAGAAATAGACCGATAATCAATAGGAAAAATTATCAGAACCTCCAAATTGTAAAGATTATGACAAATATACATCCAACTGGTTGGTATGATTAGAGGGAATGGGTATCTTTGGTGAAAAAGTAACAAGTCAGGCTTAACACTGGGTTAAACAAATATTTTTACCCACTAATCAGGGGAGATCATTTTAACCTAGGGAATCTCTATACAGAAAATCAGATTTCCAAAGAACAAGAATGACAATCTCTAATACTTAACTAGAATCTGGTCTTTAAGTACCTTTTGCCTGACACATGCAAGATCATTGCCTGTCGGATTCTGAAAGACCGCTGAAACAATACAAAACTGTCCTGCATTTCAAATGACCATCAGCCTCTG